AGACAAAAGGAAACAATAGAAAGAATGAATAAAAGCAAAAGTTCATTCTTTAAAAAGATCAACAATGCATTAAGGGTTAAAAAAAAGAAAAAAAAGAAAAGAAAAAGACGGCCAGGGGCAGTGGCTCATGCTGGTAATCCCAGCACTTTGGGAGGCCAAGGAGGTCGGCTCACCTGAGGGGAGGAGTTGGAGACCGGTCTGACCAACACACTGAAACCCCGTCTCTATTAAAAATACAAAAATTAGCTGGGAGTGGTGGCGCGTGCCTATAATCCCAGCTCTTCGGGAGGCTGAGGCAGGAGAATCGCTGGAACCTGGGAGTCAGAGGTTGCAGTGAGCCGAGATCGCACCGTTGCACTCCAGCCTGGGCAACAGAGTGAGGCTCCATCTCGAAACAAAAAAAAGAAGTTCGAGACCAGCCTGGCCAACATGGTGAAACCTCGTCTCTACTAAAAATACAAAAATTAGTCAGGCGTGATGGTGCACGCCTGTAGTCCCAGATACCGGGGAGGCTGAGACACGAGAATTGCTTGAACCCTGGAGTCAGAGGCTGCAGTGTGCCAAGATTGCTGCTACTGCACTCCAGCCGCCTCAGCGACAGAGCAAAGCTCCATCTCAAAAAAGGAACGGAAGGGAACAGAAGAAAAAGATGAGCAAACTTGACAAACCTATAGCTAGACTGACAGAAAAAAGGAGAGAAGACATAAATAACTAGAACCAAATGAAAGTGGGGACATTAATACTAACTTTACAGGAACAGAAAGGATTACAAAAGAATACTATAAGCAATTGTACACCAACATACTAGATAGTCTCGAGTAAATGGACAAATTCATAGAAATATATAAATGATCAAACTGACCCAACAAAATAGAGAAAATCTGAACAGGTAAAGAGATTGAACCAGTATCAAAAATCTCCCAAAGAAAAGTCTAAAAGTAGATAGCTTCAATGGTTAATTCTACCAAACACTTAAAGAATGGACAAACCTTTTCAAACTCTTCTAAAAAACAGAAGATGGTAGAACACTTTCCAACTCATCATAAGAGGCCAGCATTACCCTATTTACCAAAGCCAGGGAAAGACATCACAAGAAAATGGCAGCCCGTATCTCTTATGAATATCCAGAAGCATATCAAAAGGATTATAAAACATGACCAAGTGGAATATATCCTAGGAATGCAACAATTATTCAACACATGAAAATCAATCAGTGTCATATACCACATTAATATAATAATAAAAGGAAAAAAATACAATCATTTCAATATGTGAAGAAAAAGCATTTCATAAAAATCCAATACTCTTTCCTGGGGGAAAGAAAAAAAAAAACACTAAAACTAGGAATAAAAGAGAACTTCCTCAACCCAAGTCCATTTGTGAAAAAATGACAGCTAATATCATACTTATGGTCAAAGACTGAAAGCTTTCCCCCTAAGATAAGAGAAAAAGACAGGGATACCCATTTTTACCATTTTTACACAATATTGTACTGAAGAGGTTTAGCCAAAGCAGTTAGACAGGAAAAATAAATCAAAGGCATGCAAATTGGAAGGAAAAAGTAAAACTGTGTTTAATCACAGATGACATGATTTCATATATAGAAAGTCCTAAAGAATCACAAAAAAGGCCAGGCACGGTGGCTCATGCCTGTAATCCCAGCACTTTGGGAGGTTGAGGTGGGCGGATCACCTGAGGTCGGGAGTTCGCAACCAGGCTGACCAACATGCAGAAACCTCATCTCTACTAAAAATACAAAATTAGCCGGGCATGGTGGCACATTCCTGTAATCCCAGCTACTTGGGAGGCTGAGGCAGAAGAATCGCTTGAACCCAGGCGGCGGAGGTTGCGGTGAGCCGAGATCATGCCATTGCACTCCAGCCTGGGCAACAAGAGTGAAACTGTCTCAAAAAAAAAAAAAAAAAAAAGAATCCACAAAAACATCTATTCAAGAGTGGGTGTGGTGCCTCATGCCTGTAATCCCAGCACTTTGAGAGGCCATGGCAGGAGGATCAATTGAGTCCAGAAATGTAGCAAGACCCCATCTCTACTGAAAAATAAAAAAATTAACCAGGCAGATGGTGGCAAGTGCCTGTAGTCCTAGCTACTCAGGAGACTGAGGCAGGAGGATCACTTCAGCTGGAAAGTCAGGGTCGCATTGAGTCATGATCATATCACTGCACTCTAGCCTGAGTGACAGAGTGATACCCTGTCTCAAAAAAAATTTTTTTAATATATTTGAGCTCATAAATTCAATAAAGCTGCAAAATATAAGATCAAGATATAATATTCAGTTATATTTCTATATAATAGCAATAAACAACCTGAAAAGAAAATTTTTTTAAAAATCCATTTACAATTACATCAAAAACAATAAAACACTTAGGAATAAATATAACTAAGGAAGTATAAGACTCGTACAAAGAAAAATGTTTTGTAATTGCTAAAATAAATTAAGAACTAAATAAATGGAAAGACATTTCATGTTCACGGACTGGAAGACTTAATATTGTTAAAATGGCAATACTTACCAAGTCAATCTATAAATTGAATGCAAGTCCTATCAAAATGCCAATAGCATTTTTGTGGGGGTGGAAAAGCAGATTCTGAAATTCATATGGAATTGCAAGGAATAACGATTTTCAAAAAGAAGAAAAAGGTAAAGAACTCATACTTCTCGATTTCAAAACTTACTACAAAGCTATAGTAATCAAAATAGTGTGATACTGTCAAAAGAAAAGACACATACATGAATGTAACTAAATTCAGAGTCCAGAAATAAACCCATACATCTATGGTAAACTGAATTTCTTTTTTTTAAACAAGGATGCCACAAGCATTCACTGGGGAAAACTAGCCACATGCAAAAGAATAAAGTTGGATCCCTACCAAAAGCACATACACTAATTAACTCAAAATGGATCAAGGGCTTAAATCTTAAGAGCCAACACTATAAAAGTCTTAGAGGAAAACACAGGGGTAAATCTTCATGATCTGGGATTCAGAAATGAATTCTTAGATATAACAGCAAAAGCACAAATCAAAACCACAATGAGATATCACTTCACACCCACTAGGATGACTATAATAAAAAACACAGAAAATAACAAATTGCCAGGGATGTGGAGAAATTGCTAATGGGAATATTAAATGGTGTCATTATTGTGAAAACAGTTTGGTGGTTCCCCGAAAAACTTGAAACATGGGCCAGGAACGATGGCTCACACCTGTAATCTCAACACTTTGGGAGCCCCAGGTAGGAGGATCACTTGAGGCCAGGAGTTTGAAACCAGCTTGGGCAACATAGCAAAATCTCATCTCTATGAAAAATAAAAACTAAAAAATCTGCCAGGCATAATGGCGTGTACCTGGAGTCCCAGCTACTCAGGAGGCTGAGGCAGGAGGATTGCTTGGCCCAGGAGTTCAACATTATAGTGAGTTATAATCATGCCACTGCACAATCCACCAACCCACACAACACAGTGAGACTTTGTCTCTTAAAAAAAAGTTAAAATTTTTTTAAAACATTAAACATGCAACTACCACATGATGGAACAATTCCATATCTAGGCATATATGCAAAAGAACTGAAACTAGGTACTTAAGCAAGTATTTGTCCATAAAAGATTCCTAATTCACTACCCACCATAGTCAAAGGTGAAAATCACCCAAATGCCTATGAACGGATGAATGGATAAACAAAATACAGTAGATATATACAATGGAATATTATTTAGCCATTAAACAGAATGAAGCAGACATGTGCTACACCATGAATAAAGCTCAAAAACATGACGGGAAAGAACCCAGATACATAAGGTTACATATTGTATGATTCCATTTATATGAAATAACCAAAAGATAGTTAAATCCATAGAGTCACAAAGCAAATTAGGTATTGCCAGGGGCTGAAGGAGGGGAGCCAGGAACGAACGCTTAATGACTACAGGGATCTCCTTGGAGGTGATGAAAATGTGTGGAACTTGAAAGGGTTGACAGCTGCACAACATTGTGAATGTTACATGTTACTGAATTCTACTCTTTAAAATGGTTAATTTCTTCCCTGTAATCCCAGCACTTTGGGAGACCAAGGCCGGTGGATCACTTAAGGTCAGGAGTTCGAAACCAGCCTGGCCAACATGGCGAAACCCATCTCTACTAAAAATATAAAACTTAGCTGGGCATGGTGGCACACGCCTGTAATTCCAGCTACTCAGGATGCTGAGGCAGGAGAATCGCTTGAACCCAGGAGGCAGAGGTTGCAAGGAGCCAAGATTGTGCCACTGCACTCCAGCCTGAGCAATAGAGCAAGACTCCGTCTCAAAAAATAAAATAGAATAAAATGGTTAATTTTTATGTTAAATGAATTTCATGGAAGAAGTTAGGAAAGAAAAAAGAAAGAAGGGAGGGAAGAGGGAGAGGGAATGAGGGAGGGAGGGAGGGAGGGAGGAAGGAAGGAAGGGAGGAAGGGAGGGAGGGAGGGAGGGGAGAGAAGGGGAAGGGAAAGAAGGACTAAAGGGAGGGAGGAGAAGGAAGGGAGGGAGGGGAGGGAAGGCAGGCAAGGTGGGGAGGGAAGGGAGGGAAGGGAGGGGAGGGAAGGAGGGAACTGGAAGGAAGGAAAGGTGGAAGGAAGTTCGAAAGTGCCCATCTCTGCAACACAGCCAAGGGTAGAACAAAGTCATTGATGCACTGAAGAGCAAGTGTATCAGACCTTGGTGAAGTCCCTTAGAAGAACACGAGTACTCCTCTCATTCATTTCCTGTTTCACACCCTACTTTTCACATCTATTTTACCCATATATACATTTTTCTCATATAAAAACGAACTGACGTCACTCTCTTCTATCTCCTCTCCCCTACTCAAGACCTGCTGGAGAGGTAAACACATGTACTTTCTCTCCCCTGGAACAGACTATAAACATATCACCATGTACTCTAGAATCACAAATGACAGTACATTTTAAGTGCAAAAATAAAGTTACAAAAGGAATGGTTCTTTACCTTTGCAAGTTCTCTTCTTAGCTCTTCCCGCTCCTCTTCTGAGAGGGTCTCTGTGGCACTGATGGTGGCAGCAACATCTTCTCCTTCCTCAGGGACTGGCTCTGTTCTCAGCAGACCTGGTTGGGGATTTAAACAATTGTTTAAAGTACAAAATCTAAGTAAAATCCTTCTTTAAGCTCCTCCACTGTCCCAGCCAGAATAAAGCCAATTAGAGTAGATCCACATATCTCACCTCTGGACATTCAAACGACCTGGCTCTCTCAGCAAAGGACAAAAAATCTGAGCTAACCACCGGAAACCACCAAGTAGACTCTGCCAAAATACGAATTTAGAAAATATAGCATTCTCTTAGCTTCTGTTCATTGTCTCAGTCACTAGATAGTTATGGCAGAAGAGTGAAGGGCCCAAAATGAGATCTTGCCGAGGCTTTAAACTGCTGTACAACTAAATCAGTATAAATTAGATGAAAGATTTTAGCTCCTTCCCACTAACCCAGGGCAGGAGTTTGCACATCTCTTCAGCTTGCTGTGGTAATCAAAGTCAACATTTTACAAACTCAGTAAAGGAGTAACCACTGAAAGAACTAAGTGTCCTAAGTAAATTTTATTCTGTTCCTTTCCATTAGTGGAGGCAGAAAACATCTTCTTGTAGGTTTTCTTTTTGTTGTTGTTTGTTTGTTTTAGGAGGTAGAGACAGGGTGTCGCTATGTTGCCTAGGCTGGCCTTGAACGCCGGGCTTCAAGCCATGCTCCTGCCTCAGCCTCCCAAAGTTCTTGGATTACAGGCGTGAGCCACTGCCACTTCTTACAGCTTAAAAACAATAATAATATATATCTCATATATGTATCATATATATCATATACCATATATATATCATATATATCTCTCATATATATATATAAAAAATCCAGATACCCTTATAAAAGAATACTAAGCTATATGTTCAGAGACATGATCAACAGCCACATAGAGACATTCCACACTACTGAAGAACAATCACGCCGCACCTAGTCCCCTTGGAACAGAGCCTGTCAGGAAGAATGACTGGAGAGTGACCAGCAGGCAGCCGCCCCTCAGATCTCCCCTCTTTTCCTGCCCAACCCTTACCCACAGGCTAAGATGAGGCCAGAAAGGCACCCCAACCTCGGGTGCAAAATTGAAGAGGCCACGAAAGCACTCAATATAAATACCTTAATGGAATATTTTTTTTAAATCAAAATCAAAGAACCCATGAAGAACAAAATGCCAAAATTTTCAACTGCAGGATCAGTATTGCTGATACTTTCTTGTGTCTCAAACTCCAAAATGGCTCTGCATGAACAGCACTACTGCTAATCTCGTCTTTATTTAAAACTGCGATATTTTATTCATGATTTTCTTTTACATTAATTTTTTAAAATATTATATTCGCACATTATTTGACGACTAAGCTTTTTGTCACCCCCTTCCTGGCCGTAGCTGCCTTACCCTAGGCTTCAGGTTTCAGTTCAGTTTACAGGTTTGGGATTGCAAAGTCTCCTCTGGCAACAGATTTTTATTTATTATTATCATTTTTTTTTTTGCAAAGAAACCAGGGGAAGGTTTACTCCTCTGCCCGCTCTTCCTGCCAGTGAGCATCACAGCCACTGCAGTTGTTCCCTGCTACCCCCCAGGACCATTTCTGAGAAGTGCCAGTTCAGTCACAGCAGCAATGTGGCATCCTGCCCAACACAAGGCGCCAGGGAGCAGACGCAGAAGAAAAAGGAAGGAGAATAGCCACACTGTGGAACAAGCAGCCAGCGTCACAGCAAACATTAGAGAATTACATGAATCAATGAGACGATGCTTATGTACATGGTGTACAAGTTACAAAGGCACTTGGTACAGGGTCTGCTGTACTTCACTGATTAACAGTAGTTAATAATTACAATAATCATCAGCACGGCAGCACCAAAATAGTGCCTACTTGGAAAGTATGTACAGAACTGTGAGAGCCATAAAAGTAATACAAATAATTCAAAAACCACAAATCAGACTGGCAAAAAATATGAGCAAGCTCTTGACTGCATATAAAATACTTAATAGGTACAATCAGCAGGTAGAAAAGCTCAATGCATAATTGCTTCCACAGGTCTTCCTCTAAAATATCTGTGAACAGACTGCCCAAATAATATTTCTATAATAGAAATCTGATTGTGTCACTTTTCAGCTTAAAATCCTTTGGTGGTTCCTTACCGTTTTCAAAGCAAAGTGTGAGGTTGGCACACAGCCCTTACTGGACCCGTCTCCTGCTAGCTGGCATTGGCACCTCTTACTCCAACTCCAGCCAAATCACACCGTGAACAAGGTGCTGTCCTATGTACTGTCAGAAACCATTTCCCAGCATCTGTGTGTGCTTGTAAATCTATCCTCTATGTTAGATTATGTGAAGAAAGTTGTATGAGATTGAAACTGGGAGTCAGACATTCAAGTAACAATCATATAAGGCAACACAGTTAAGAACCATAACAGAGCTACGTGTTACACATTATTTTATTTTTAATGTTTTGTACAGAACTCCCAAGTTCTCCAACTAGAACAGATCTCCAAAATAAAACAAGCAAAACTCAGGTACCAAACTATTACTTAAATAGCAAAGACTCTTTCATGCTTTTTTGATACACACTCTTTTGCAAATCTACTCAAAGAAGGGGAAAAATACAGTATCTGATTGCTAACAATGCTTTATGTATACTGCCCATTTCAAAAAGAATCCAAGGGGATTCTGGTTCTATTCAAGTATGTGGCTATGGTATCAAGGAAAATAAATCTCTCAGAAAAGAGGATGACGGGTTGTCCAGTTGGCTTCAAGTCTGCCAGGATGACCTTGAGATTTTATACTCAGCATCTAAGAAAGTTGGTAATGACATGTTCTGCTCTTTCCACATTAGCCTGTAGGTGGCAGCAAATCATCATCATTCAAATTAAAAGGTGCAGTCTGGAAAAAAAAATTAGCAATTAAAGAACACCAAGCAAGAACAGAATGGTAGGTACCAAAATCAGCAGCAAAACATCACAGTCATGCCTTGCGAAAATTATTAACCACAGCCACCATGACAGAGTGCATTCCATTTACAGACAAGTCCAAATTAAGTGTTTTAAATACCTATGTGCAACACTTCAGTGAGGTGGGGGTCCCCGTCACCATTTACAAATCAGGAACCTGGAGCTTACAGACATTCAGCGACTTGCCCAGGTGAACACACCTAAATGTTTGGTAGAGGTCAGATTTTAAACCTAGACAGTCTGATGTAAAAACAAATGCTTCAAATCACTGATCTGAAAACAAAGACAAAAGTAGGAGGCTTACAGTAAGACCTGAAAGGTATCTAGAAGCAATAATAAGACCCTAAAAAGAGAAAGAATCTGGCAGACTAGATCAAAAGCAGTCTTCATTAATTCCAACTAAAGTTTCCCCAAACCTGGGAATCCAAATTTTGCCTTATATATTCATCTAGATATGATCCTGTTTCTTGTATGTTCAGTAATAGTACAGTATTTAATACGAAAATAGAGTCTGGCTTTTGGGAGAAAAGATCAATTTCTCATTCACAGCATGAAAGGTAGAAAATAACAACATTTAAAAGTATAGATTGTTGAAAACCATAATCTGAAACTTATTCGTTCATTAATTTTAATGTTTTTTTTTCTCAGAATCTGATGGAAAGCTGTTTTTAAAAGACAAATATGGTGGGGAAAATACAATTAATATCTATTGACATTTACTACACCAGCCACTGTGAGGGGAAGTCTACATGTTATCTTACAAAAATAAAAACACCCCATAACCACCACCTGAGAGGAGTATTTTTTTCTACTAGGAAACTGCAGTCCTCTAAGGCTATATAATTTGCCCAGAGTTACAGAGGCAGGATTAATACTTGGGTCTTGGGTCTTTCTGTCTCTCGACTCAGCTCCTTCACGAACATCTTTTCTTAGAGAAATATCAATGATCATGGCAGGACAACGAAACAGGGCCTAGTCTTTCTCCATAGAAACTTTTTTCTTTCCTGAGGGCCTAGGAACTTGTGGGGATCCCTGGTTTGAAAGTCACAGATAACATTATCAAACCCAAATGACTGAAAATGAATGATAATTTCTTCCATCAGGTTATTAACATTTTAGCCATTGCCTTAATTCTCTTCATCTAGCTATGCAAACAGATTGTCAGCCTGTCTTCAGTTCCACCCATGGGCTCCCTAAAAAGCTTTAGGTAGGGGAGTGACAAGTCTAGACTTGTCTTTGGAAAAGTCCTTCCAGCAAGCTAGGTAGAGGGTGGCCTGCCCTGGGAAGGTTCTGGAGCCCACTGGCAGGGTGACGCATCTCACTGATTCCCAGGTGAGATTTCTAGTGTCTCCGGGATGAGGATGGAGAAGACAAGCAGAGACACATTCCATCAATCTGAAGATACTTTCTACATTTTACATCTTTGAGATGCACTGTACAATTAATCAGCCAGTCATTGTGACATAGTTATCACCAGTAAACACGCCTCAAAATTTGCAAGCCTCAAAAAGTGGCTTCAAAAATGCCAGGTCCAGTTACAGACGTCTCTTACGAAAGGCTGCACCACAGACATTTTATGTGAGGAAAATAAATCAATAGAATAGATATAGATTACTCCAAGTTGAAAAGCAGTTCAAATAAGTTAAATTATAGGTGTGAAGATATTTTAGGAAATGTTCGTTTTTATTTTAGAAAATATGCACAGGAGTGTTATGATCAGTGTAAATGTCTGAATAAATCTAAAAAAGAACTTCAATAAACATAAAATTTTTGGCCAGGCGCAGTGGCTCATACCCGTAATGCCAGCACTTTGGGAGGCCAAGGTGGGAGGATCACTTGAGCCCAGGAGTTCAAGACCAGCCTAGGCAACAAAGTGAGATCCTGTATCTACAAAAACTCAAAAGTCATTAGCCGGGTATAATGGCCTGCACCTGTAGTCCCAGCTACTCAGGAGGCTGCGGCAGGAGGATCACTTGGGCCTAAGTTACAGCTGAATGAGCTGTGATCATGCCACTGCACTCCAGCCTGGGCAACAGAGCAAGAAGAGCAAGACCCTGTCTCAAAACAACCATGACAAAAATTTAAATAAAAAA